CTCTTGCTGCTTTCAAGATTCTTTCTTGATCTCTTGAGTTTGATTTTAATGTGTCTTGGTATAGATCTCTTTCAGTTTGTATACTACGTGGAATTTGTTGAAGTTCTTGGATATTGGCTTCATGTCTTTTTTCAGATTTGGTAAGTTTGAACATTATTTCTTCAAATACTCTTTTCTGTCCTTTCCGCTCTCTTCTGGGACTCCTGTTCATACTTAATATGCTTGATGGTATTTAACAGGTCTTTTAGTCTGTGTTCATTTTTCTTCATTTGTCTCCTCAAACTGGATCATTTCAACAACTAACCTAGCTTCAAGTTCACTGATTCTTTTTTCTGCCTGTTCTCCTGTCAAGCCTCTCTAGTGACTTTTCCAATTATTATTATTATAATTTCAACGGATTCATTTTAAGATTATATTTTCAACATCAAAATTTATATTTGACTCCATTTCATAATTTTTTAAAGTTATACTTTAAGTTCTGGCATACATGTGCAAAACGTGCAAGTTTATTACAGAGGTATACACGTGCCATGGTGGTTTGCTGCATCCATCAACCCGTCATCTACACTGGGTATTTTTCCTAACGCTATCCCTCCCTTAGTCCCTCACCCCGACAGGCCCTGGTGTGTGATGTTCCCCTCCCTGTGTCCATGGGTTCTCATTGTCCAGCTCCCAGTTATGAGTGAGAAAATATGGTGTTTGGTTTTCTGTTCCTGTGTTAGCTGAGAATGATGGTTTCCAGCTTCATCCATGTCCCTGCAAAGGACATGAACTTATCCTTTTTTATGGCTGCAGAGCATTCCATGATGTATATGTGTCACATTTCCTTTATCCAGTCTATCATTGATGGGCATTTGGGTTGGCTCCAAGTCTTTGCTATTATGAACAGTGCTGCAATAAACATACCTGTGCATGTGTCTTTATAGTAGATTGATTTATAATCCTTTGGGTATATACCCAGTAATGGGATTGGTGGGTCAAATGGTATTGCTGATTCTAGATCCTTGAGGAATCACCACACTGTCTTCCACAATGGTTGAACTAATTTACACTCCCACCAACAGTGTAAAAGCATTCCTATTTCTCCATGTCCTCTCTAGCATCTGTTTCCTTTTCAATGATTGCCGTTCTAACTGGCGAGAGATGGTATCTCATTGTGGTTTTAATTTGCATCTCTCTAATGCCCAGTGATGATGAGCTTTCTTGAATGTTTATTGGCCGCATAAATGTCTTCTTTTGAAAGTGTCTGTTCATGTCTTTTGCCCACTTTTTGATGGGGTTTTCTCTTGTAAATTTAAGTTCTTTGTAGATTCTGGATTATTAGCCCTTTGTCAGATGGATAGATTGCACATATTTTTTTCCCCATTCTGTAGGTTGCCTTTTCACTCTGAGGACAGTTTCTTTTGCTGTGCAGAAGCTCTTTAGTTTAGATCCCCTTTGTCAATTTTGGCATTGGTTGCCATTGATTTTGGTGTTTTAGTCATGAAGTTTTTGCCCATGCCTATGTCCTGAATGGTACTGCCTAGGTTTTCTTCTAGGGTTTTTATGGTTTCAGGTCTTACATTTAAGTCTTTAATCCACCTTCAGGTAATTTTTGTGTAAGGTGTAAGGAAGGGGCCCAGTTTCAGTCTTCTGCATATAGCTAGCCAGTTTTCCCAACACCATTTATTAAATAGGGAATCCTTTCCCCATTGTTTTTGTCAAGATTGTCAAAGATCAGATGGTTGTTGACATGTGGCATTATTTTTGAGGTCTCTGTTCTGTTCCATTGGTCTATATATCTGTTTTAGTACCAGTACCATGCTGTTTTTGGTTACTGTAGCTTTGTAGTATAGTTTGAAGTCAGGTAGAGTGATGCCTCCAGCTTTGTTCTTTTTTGCTTAAGATTGTCTTGCAGGCTCTTTTTTGGTTCCACATGAAATTTAAAGTAGTTTCTTACTAATTCTGTAAAGAAAGTCAGTGGTAGTTTGATGGGGATAGCACTGAATCTGTAAGTTACTTTAGGCAGTATGGCCGTTTTCACGATACTAATTCATCCCATCCATGAGCATGGAATGTTTTTCCATTTGTGCCCTCTTATTTCCTTGAGCAGTGTTTTGTAGTTCTCCTTGAAGAGGTCCTTTACATCCCTTGTTAAGTTGTACTCCTAGGTATTTTATTCTCTTTGTGGCAGTTGTGAATGGGAGTTCACTCATGATTTGGCTGTTTGTCGCTGGTGTATACAAATGCTTGTGATTTTTGCACATTGAATTTGTATCCTGAGACTTTGAAGTTGTTTATCAGCTTAAGGGGATTTGAGGCTGAGACGGTGGGGTATTCTAAATATACAACCATGTCATCTGCAAACAGACAATGTGACTTCCTCTGTTCCTATCCTTTTTATAATTTTTATCTCTTTATTGATATTCTTTAATGATATATCATTGTTTCCTTTAGTTGTTTGTCCATGGTTTCTGTTAGCTCTTTGAATACGTTGAAGACATAATGTCCTTGTCTAGCAAGTCCAGTGCCAGTGCTGCCTCAGGGTCAGTTTTTATTAATTTCTTTATTGTGAATAAGATGACCTTCTTGTCTCTTTATATGCCTCAGTTTTTAAATTTTTATAAACTGGATAGCCAGAACATTATAATGTGGCAACTCTGGAAACTAGATTCTGCCCTCTCCCCAAGTTTTGCCATCATGGCTTGTTGTGAATTGCAGTTTGTGCAGTAGTGATTTGTTTAGTGACTTTTCTAAACTGTCACGTGTTGTCTGTGTAGTATCTATTCCATTAGCTTAGTGGTCAGTCAGTAGTTTGACAGAACTTTCCTTAAATGCCTGGAGACAAAAGAAAAAAAAAAGGATAAAAAGAAAACATACACTCCCCACCTTTACAGACAGGTTCTCTATTGGGGAACTCCTTCAACACTTATCCGGGCTGTTTACAACTCTGTTTTAGTCTTCACTTCCTGTTTGGTCTGGGTGTAAATACTCGTATCAGCAAGAGGTGAAAGCTTAGAATCTTCTCAGGACTTTTCTGAGCATGGATCCTGCCCTGGGTATGGGTACATCCTTCCAGAGTCCCTGTTATATGTAGGATTGTTTCCAAGTCCTTATTTTCCAAATTATTTCACTACCCAGCTTCTCCTTTCCAGGCTTTCATTGTGTGTCTATTTGTGCCAACTGCAATCTCTTCTCCAGGCAGCAGTGGCTTGTTCATTTACTTTCAATGCTTTCAAGAAATCATTCTCAGCACAGTCACTTTTTCACCTGGAGAGACTTCTGGGTTACATGAACCAAAGGCAAGCCCCTAGATAGGTCAAAGTGAACACCATTTCTTAAGAATGGGGTCTATTCTGCTCCCTCCAAAACCAGGAGCCCACACAAGGAATGCAGGCTGCACTCTTCAAGACCATTCCTGACTGGGGAGGGAAGAGGGCGAATCAAGATAAAATGCCATTAAGCGATCCAGCTGAGTTTCAGCTGCCTTTTTAATTTAAGCAGTTGTTTGGTAGGTAAATTTTTTTTTTTTAACCAAATTTCCAATAAGTTGTAGTCTGACAGTTTTTTTTTTTCCCAGTTTTTCTAAGGATGGGTATGCACCTGGAGTTCCTTGTTGTCATTTTTCCTCACATCTATGCATAATATTTAATGGAAATAGATAGACATATCAACATTTGGGTAAATGTGACATGATTTTCCTATTAGGGCCAGAAGGTGAGATGCTTTGTTAAAACTTTATATAGTACTTGGATCCTTGGTATGTGATATAAATATATGCATGTATTTCAGACATAGAGGAATATGGAAAATTCATAAATGGCAGATGCTCATGAATTATATCAGGGAATTTAAGAGCTAACGAATGCATACTTGTACCCTTTGAGTGTGACTAGCTACAATGTTCATCCTCTACAATGTTCATAATGAGAGAAAACATTATTACATATATTGGTCTGATCCAATATAGCATATTGCTGGAGTATGAAGAAGACCTTGTTTTACTATTTTAAACTTAATGTGCTCTGTGGACTCTGAGAACATTGAGTCTTCAAACATCAATTCAAATATTTTGTCCCTAGATATTCCAGCTAATGTGTTTGCCCCAGTGACCAGTCCTTTTTAAAACACAATTTTTAATGTCATTGGTTGAAAAATATGTCATGCCTTATTTAGAATAACCACTCCCTTCATGGACCCTTAGGGAGGTTCTTGTGATAGCAAGAAAGGGAAAACTTGTCAAACTCTATGGTTAGAGCAACATCTAATCTCCCCAAATCACCATGCTTGCTGAATTGTAATTGACAAGGGATGTTACTTCATGTGTAAAAGAAAACTGCAGTAAGCACAAAATGCTACTGGGCTTACTCATGTGAATATGTAATGCCAGGAACAGTATGTTGAACAAAATGCAACAAGTTATTAATCAGATGTTATTATAAAATGAAACTCCTTTAGGTGGAATTTTATAATTAGGATTTTTCTCTCCACTATAGTAGAAAAATAATTGTAAAACATATAATCAATTTTTATGACAGCCTGGAACATACAGTGAGTCTGGTTAAAAAGTGACACTGGAAGATATAACATGCCAGATACAAATCAATTATTCAATTCTCATTGTTTAGCAAAGGTAAACACATCATATGTATGTAATTTTGCGCATGTTACATTCTGTAAGCAAACTACGTGTTTGAGCCACTCTTCACAATTCTGCCTAGAGCATTTTCCAGTCAGTAATGACTTATACTGAAGCAGTATATTTTGCTCTAGAATCACTTCCCTAATGTAACAGTTGTCTATAGAGAAGCCACAGCTTTTTAAACCATGAAATTTTAATTTTAATTGCTCAATTAATTTTAAATGCTCAGAGGAAATTTTAAATGCTCATAGGAAATTACAAAATAGGAGCTAGAAAACGTTTACTAATATGGTATAGGAAAGTACTACTTATCTTAGTTATAGTGTCTGAGAATGACCTGACTTTGATATGATTAAAAGATTTACAGAGAGATTAGAGATAATTTGTAATATCATTTAATCAGCTGCATATTAACTGCAAGATAAATTCTGAGATTTAAGGATACAAACAAAAGTGATTATAATTAACACGTTTAATACTTGTAAAATTTGACCTGAGATTCTCTATGTAATCTCTGAAGTTTTGAGTAAAATGTAAAAAATCTGCAATGGATTAAGAATTACAGGTCAAGTTTTGCCTAGGGATAGGCAGTGAACAAATGACTAAGTTTATCTATTGTTTTTGCATAAATGTTATTCCAAAACTAAATTTATTCATCTAAGTACAAGAACTGGGAAAATTAATATTATTTTTAGTAACAGATTTGGGATTATGACTATAAACTTATGTGATTTTCACTGAATATTATGTTTTGAAAAGATAGCATTCATCCTGCTAACACACACACTGCCCTGGGATATAACTTGATAAACATGCCCCACTAGGCCTCTGTATTTTCCACTCTTCACTGAAATTCATAGATTTAAATAAGTAAACTCAGTGGTTGTATATCTGTTTCTTGTTTGAGGCTATATAGCTGGAACGTGCAATGAAAACAATCCTCCATGGTCTATTATTCAAATGTTAATGAAAATTAGATAACAAACCTTAAAAAGAAAAAGCAAACACTGAACTGACTGAAGAACTGCTTTCCTAAACCCATAATTTGGGTAACTCCACAGAATATAAAAATCCATGTTTGAGAGTTCAAAGGCCTGGCTATAAACTTTATTTTCGGCTTTCAGCTTCCATCACTTCTATAAGTCAGAGAAAATTTACATTTCCTGACTAATTTACAAGGTTATTGTGAGGAAGAAATACCATAATATATGTGTAAGTGCTTATAAACTAAAACAGGATACAAACATAATAGTACGTTACACTCCTACATTTGTTTTCAAGAAAACTTCATTGAATCATTCACTAATCCTAGGATAATTAACCTTTTGTCTGGATTCAAGGATTGAGGCTTTGATGGAAAGCTGGTTCCATAAAACACATGAGGAACACGGACACAGTGAGTTGTTTCCTCGAAAATGGACATAGCGTGTTAAGTTTGCTCTTACTTGTAAGTCTGTATTCCCAGATGACATCTAAAGTTCGAGAAATAACTCCTAGTTGTGGTATGTTGCCTTTATTATCTGATGCCTTTGAAGCACACTGATTTAATGCATACTTACTTTAGATTCAGATCTCAAGAAGAAGCTCTAGGCCTTGGTTAGGCATCCAAATTATAGGTACCATTCATCCAGCTCCCTGTCCTGTAAACCTTTATCTAGTTAATAATAACAAAAGACTATTTATAACAGTGCACGTCCTTTAAGACTGAAACTGCAGTAAGTTTAATTCTCAGTACATGACATATTTTCATGCATTTGCTTTATCCCTGTACAATACTAAGAATCTTTAACATACATTTCATAGGTTTTCTTTACTAACATTGCAGTCCTTTATGAATGAGTAAACAGTTCTAAAACATGAATTCATAATTACACTGTCATTTATTTCAATCCTGTGGCACACACTGAATATAATAGGCTTGAAAAACACTTTGATATTTCCTTTGTAGATTACTAAATGCTACCATTGATTTCTATAAATTAAATTTACTAGGAAAACTCACAGTTTAAAAAAAGTACACAAGAATAAGCTAGCTGATCACAATCAAATGAATGAATTCAAAATAGTATAAAGTCAGGAACAGTTTATCTTCATGGTAAACATTCACTTTATGCAAATCCCACTTGGCTTCATTTAATTAAAAAGCTGAAAAAGAAAGAAAATTATTATGTGCTGAACATAAGGAAAATACAGTATGTTTTTTATTCCATTCTAAATTAGCACATGTAAATATAACATTAAAATGTCATAATTGTATTAATTCAGCTAATTGTAATTTTTACATCAGGGCAACTTTTCTGAACTAGTGCCTTTAACCAGATCAGGCTTAGGGTGGGAACAGGGTCAGGTGAGAGAAGATGCTGAAAACTTTAATTTGTGGTTTAAATTTACATAAACATTCTTCTCACTGCTGGCTAGAGCAATAGTTAAATCAGCATTTAAAATGGTAATGTAGAAGAAATACAAGGGAATGGACTGAAACAAACGTGTGAAGTGGGTCATTTGAATGTCCTAAAAATATTTTTTCTCTAAATGTATAATTTAATCACTTGGTCTTTTGTTAATATAATTTACAATTTCATCATATTGAACAACCAAAAAGAGTATACATAAATCATAAAACTTCTGATGAAACATGAGCAGAGATACTTGTACATATAAAAGATAACTATTTTTTTTAAACTTCCCTAAGCAAAGCTTTATGAAACAAAATTTAATTTTGTCAGATGGTAAATCAATTTAAATAACATTTATGAAGTTTTTGTTTATATCTGTATCTTTTTGCTACCATGTGGCATGTTCTTTTTGAGTCTTGACAACACAAGACAACTTTGCAAGGCAACCAGAGACAAACCAATTTTTAATTAAATATGAAAGCAAAAATGAAATCAATAGTTCCTGTAGTTAAAAACAAAAAACAAACAACAACAACAACAAAAAACATGTAGCTGGAAAAATGTCCAAAGTAGGTAAGTTTTATTATCTGGATGTTTAAATCATAATATCCTAGGCATAAATTGTTTTGTCTTTCTGAACCTCGGTTTCCTCATTAGTGAAAAGAACGTTTGTTTTGGATGATTCCCAAAGTTCTTTTCGGTGCTAATATTTTAGGATTCTGGGGATACTATGTGCAAAAATAAATATATATTTTAAAATACAACACTTTAGTATCAAACATAAAATATATATAATATATATTTAAATTATATAATATACAGTGTATATTATATAGCATCAATTAAAATGTAAATGTCATAGCACAATACAAACCAGAAAAATTACTCTTCTTAGCTGTTTCTGAGAAATTGTTAAATTAGAAGATAAAAATGATATGATGCTATCAGGACACAATGAGACATCACCTCTACTTTCAAGATAATAAGTAATGAATAAAGCATACTATAAGGGTGACCATCTCCATGAAGAAGAATGTCAGCAGTAAACCTCATCAGGGTCTTAAGCTGTAGTTGCTGTTCAATCCACATGATCCTTAAAAACACTGCTGGTAAAGCAGATAGATGTGTCAGCTGTAGACGAATTGTGGCATTATGTTTTGAAAAGATAGCATTCATCCTGCTAGCGCACGCAAGCTATCATCAGCTTGCTCTGAAGATGAAGCTAACTGAAGAACGAGGGTTAATGAAAAAAGAAACCTTAATCATAAAATAAACTGATACTTAAAACTAAGGATTTGTAGCTTTTTGTTGTTTAGTTTTTAAAGGATCTGCAATTTTCGAGTTACGGAGCACTAAAGATAATCTTTATTATTGCTAATGATATTACCCCTGTGAAAGCAAAAATACTAACTTCATCCGTAATGGTAATTTTATACCTTGTAACTTTTTAGGAGTTTTATGATACTTAGGTATAATCAGAGTAAAAGGATCTCTGTGAGTACTTTATTAATATAATCTTTATGCTGTTTTTTTCATTTTATGGTTTTCAAAACTGAAATACTTAGTAATTTTAAGCTGTTATAACAATCAGTTGTTTATATCATGAAATGACAAGTATATATTTAATCTGAAACTGATTAATTGTCCTACAATAGAGGATACATCTAACAAGTAGAGTATTTTCTATGGTTTTATTTTCAAAGCTATCATTTTCATTTTAAAATGTTATAAAAATGTCTTTATTTGTTCAAGACACTGGAAACACTTGAAGCACAAAAATGTCAAAAATGTTTGGCTGGTTAAAACGTTTCTGAGAAAAGTATGGACTGCTGTTCTCTAATCAGTATTTTAGGTTTCATTTTATTTTCATTATATAAACAATGTCCAAGGTATGTTCCAGTATGAATGTTTTATATTGATATTATCACTCGAGGAATTAGTCTCTTATTTCTAATCAAGATCGGACATGCATTTTTTCCCTTTTCACATTTATCTGTCTAATAATTTTGCTGCATAATCTAACAGTGTAATAGTTCTTACAGATTTATGGTTCAATAGTGCTTGGATATTGTTTTTTTCTAATAATGCTTATCACAAAAATGTATAAATGCCTTTGTATCATACTTTTTAAAAAAACTGTCAAGAATACTGAAAACAATGTATTACCCTTATGTGTGCTTTTCAGTTTTGCGGTCTGCTTCCATAGTGAGTGAGAAGCAGCCTTGGGTACCACCATCAGCTTCTGTATGGAGTCCGCTCCACTCTCAGTCATGAATGAATCGCACTGTAGTTATCCACAGTAGTAGTCAGCATGTGCATAGCACTGATTGCTGTGACTGGCTTATTTGCTTATTCTGAAGTGAATATATGCATGGTCAACTGTAACTCAGGTAGTAATAGAAAATGGAAGCTAGTTGGCAAGAGTAGCAAGTTGCACACAAGGGATAAGGTAGGAGGCTAGGACTAGCACAAATGTGACCCCCGAAGCTCCCACTTCCCCTAGCCTAAGGGAAGCAACCATTCCTTTCTAGTCTGTGTCACTTTATTGTTGCTTAAAGTCCATCAGGGATGCAGAGAGAGACTGTCTACACAAAGAAGGAATGGGATGACAACTTCAAACCATTTCTCTCTTTAAGGCTGGCTCTCTCCTCAACACTCCCTCATGGTAGAAAACCACGATTTAGATGAAAATATTGTCTTTGATGTGCTGAGGAGTCATATTCCGTAGGTTTATTAGCAAGTTTATTACTTGAAATTCAAAATATTTTTCTAGAGAAACATGCAAGTGTTAGCTATTTTCTTAAACTTGGGGCCCCCAGAAGTCTGTTTCAATCAGCATTTAACAACTATTGTGTACTAGAATTCTGTGCATAGAGGCGTGTTGCAGAGAATGAAATGATTGAAAGTCATGGCCCTTATGTTTCTTTTAGCTAAAGGAGAGAAAGACCTGGGTATGATTAAGTATGATACAGTGACATGTTTGATATGATGATGGTGTTACAAGAATTGAAAAAGCAAAACTCTGAGAACAAGTAAGATAAAGGGACAGCAGCCTAGACCAAGGAAGCTGGATGGGGAAAGGTAGCAAAGTATGAGAACATATTCAGTGTTGTGTTCAGCATGGCTAAACTAGGAGTTAGCACATTTTCTGTAAGGAGCCAGAAGGTAAATATTTTAAACTTTGTGGGCCATGGGTCTTTGCTGAAACCATTGAACTGAGCTGTTGTACAAAAGCAGCCACAGACAACACATCAAACAAACCTGGCTGCGTTTCAATGGAACTTTATTCATAGGCACTGAAATTTGTATTTCATAATTTTCATGTCACAAAATATTCTTTGTTGACTTCCCACCCCCCGATGATTTAAAACTGTAGAAGCCATTCTTAGTGTGTAGGATAAACTAACATAGACAGCAGTTACTAAGTCTTGTATTAAACCAGAGGGTGTACTGAAGGATATACCATAAAAAGCTGAATGGCATGAAACTTAAAATAGTTGTGGCAATTCATACAATGGTATTACTATATAGCTAGTAAAATCATATATACTGTAGAATGTAGTTAACTGCATTGGAATATGCTCATGATGTATAAAAGAAAAATAAGCAGCTTACGAAATATGTACAGGCTAAACTGATGATAGTTGATGACCTGAGTGTGGGGATTTATGAATATATTGCCTTCATTTTGCTTATCTATCTGTATCTTCTAGAAGGAACATGTATTAGCTTTCCCCTCCTCCTTTTTATTAGCTATTAAGGAATTTTAATGAAGAAGCAACATAATCAGTGCGTATCTGAAAACAATTCTGACACTACCGTATAATCACTGATGGATTATGGGGGATAATGACTAGACATTGGGAGACAATTTAGGAGGCTCGGTGATAGTCAGAAAAAGATACAACGTACTTAAGACAGCAACTGTGGGAAGAGAAAAGTAATGTAGACCAAATAACACAAAGCAGGATGAGGACAAAATGACTCCAAGATTTCCATCTTGCATGACAGTGAGAATGACAGTGTCGAGGAAAAGGAACGGAGAAACAGATCTGGAGGCAGATAATGATTTTTGAACATATTGAGGTGAACTGTTAATGTGGTATTCAGGTCTGGTTCTGGAACTCAGGACAAAGGTCAGGAACTGATAATGTATATTCAGGACTGAGAAATAATCTCAAAGAAAAAAGGAAGTTGTAAGAAAGTCATGTTACAAAATCCAGGGTATAAACTTTCCAAGAGGGGCTTGTCAACTACAATGCTAGAAAGGTCACATGAAGAGAACTTTGGATTTGGTCACTGGTGGTTACTGGAGACTGAGGATATATCAAAAGCTTGTTTGTTGCTTTTCCCTTTCTGTGAAATATCTGAACAGGTAGCAAATAATGGCTTGCTGTTTGTTTTGTTTTTTTTTTATTTATCTTGAATTAATGACTCCATCTGTTTCTCATATTTGGAAAAACCAGAATGTACACAGTGTTCCGGAACAAACGTACTGTGTCTAGGCGGGAGTTGGTTAGAGTCTAATATCTTCAGCTTGACAGAATTTTTCGGGGCACTGCTCTTCCTGTTCTCAAACTGGGGAGCAAGTCAGGGAGACCAGGTGGTTACACAATGTCATCTGTCTCACAGAAATCACTTATGTGGGTAAGGGGCAGTTGCTCAGATTTCATTTGGTATCCAAAAAAGTGCAAAGGGGAAAAAAGGTCTGGGTTGTTCACCAAACAGAGACAAGCCAGTGGCTGAATT